TCAACCCCACCTGTGGTATGGAACCTTGTAGTACAATTTTAAAGAGATTCATACGCTTACACACAAGTTATTGTCTGGAAACTAAAAAAAATGCAATGAAGTTTATTCAACTAAAGCTATTGGCAAATTTCCAATGGAATTTATTAATAATAAAATTTTGGCAAATTTCCAATATACATAATTTAAAAGCAGTTTAGGTGAGATAAACAAAAAAGCTTCATCAGCAACATTTTATATTGGCAAATTTCCAATGAAGTTCATTAAACTAAAGTTATTGACAAATTTCCAATGGAATTTATTAATAATAAAGTTTTTGGCAAATTTCCAATATACATAATTTAAAAGCAGTTTAGGTGAGATATTCAAATGAGTTTCAATTACCAACCTTACACTGCCTTTTAAATTGTGTTTTGTACTTAAGTAATTGTCCATTAACCTGGAAACCCTTTTCCCCCCTTTTTTGCACCTTATTCCTTAACGGTTTGAGCCATAACTCCCAAAGGCAATTCTTACCATCCCTTTGTGGTATTCCAATATCCAAAATCTAAATACATGGTTAGATTAAGCATATCAAAGAACCCCAAGAATTCAATTTTTGATGAAATCAAATAAAGTTCAATTTTGGACCCTTTAAACCTCAATGTGGACCAATTTGATAACCGGGCCCAAATATCAAAAATCTAAATACATGGTTAGATTCAGCATATCGAAGAACCCAATATATTCATTTTTTGTTGAAATCAAACAATGTTTAATTTTGGACCCCGATTTGTATTAACTTATACTAAAGTTATAGCGCGAAAACCAAATGTCTTCGGACGACGACGACGACGACGCCAACGTCATACCAATATACGACCGCAAAAATTTTGCGGTCGTATAAAAACTGAATTACAGAAGTCGGTTTCACAAAAAAACTTACGACTAAGACCGTAAGTATACTGAATTGTTCATGACTTCCGATCAATCTTAGTCGTAAGTTTTTTTTGTGAAACCAACTCCAGGCTCCTGACTTCGGACAGGCCAAGTCTGTAATATGAAGTTTTTACTATAAGTATCACATACATTTAACATTATTAATCATCCATGAAAATGAGGTCAGATGAACCATACCAAAAAGACACCTTATGTACAATCATTGCATACAGCAAATATTGTTTACATGTTGCTTGTAGTATCTGACTAACTGACAAAACCGTGAAAACTAAACATTGACCAATGAATAGTGAACACGTGTTCAATGTCATATGAAACCTGCCAGACAAACATGTACACCTCACAATCATTTAATACACCAACTATAATGGCCCTTTTTATGTCCCCGCGACAAAATGTCGAGGGGCATATTAATTTACCCCTATCCGTCCGTCTGTCTGTCCGGATTATAATACATTGTTTGTCTGGCTATTTCTTCCTACAGTTTTGGAGGTACAACTTTAATATTTTTTTGGATGTTCATACACATAATGAAGGTGTACATGGCCACAGAATTTTGATTTTTTTCAAATATTCTGAAAATGACAGGTAGTTGGACTTTTAGTCATTTTTTTGTTACTAGCTGCATAAAGAGATCATGGTTTGTCCGGCTATCTCCTCCTATCTCCTCCTACAGTTTTGGAGATACAGCTTTAATATTTTGTAGGATATTCAAACACATAATGGAGGTGTGCATGGCCACAGGAGGGGGGGGGGGGCATTGTCCATATCTAGTTACTTATTGTATCTGAAAAATAGACCAAAAAACAAAATTAAACATTGTTCAATGAACCGTGAAAAAAATTGTCAAGGTCAGATGAAAGCTGCCAACCGGTCATATTTGCCTAACAATCATTCCATACACCAAATAAATATATTTGACCTATTGCTTACAGTATCTACGTTATGGACCAAGAAAACTTAACCTTGATCATTGATCCATGAAATGAAGTTGAGGTCAGGTAAACCCTGTCTGAAGGACATCTCGTAAGACCTTGTAAGGAACCAATATACCAAATACAGTTATCCTATTACTCATAATAATGGAAATTCAAATAACAAAAAAATAAAATGCTCTAGACGGCTCAGCTTGATACGACCGCAGAACCCTGAACAAGTATGGACACAACATTCAAGCTTAATACAGCTCTATATTTGGATTGTGTTTAAATTTGACACAGTATAGGTTTCTGAAACGGAAGGAATGTGGTCTATGAACTTAACAAAATTTGAAATTGGACATTAACCTGCATTTGCATTCTGGTCCAATATCCAAAATTTGAATGCTTGGTTAGATTCAGCATATCAAAGAACCCATAGAATTAAATTTTGGTTAAAATCAAAACTAAGTTAAATTTTGGACCCTTTGGAGATCTTTGGAACATAATATGAAAACAAGACCCAAAATCAAAATTCTAAATACACAGTTACAAAATTTTATTTTGGACCTAAAATGACCTCAATGTGGACCAATTTCAAAACAGACCCAAAAATAAAAATAGTGTACATGGTTAGTTTTGGCATATCAAAGAAACTAAAAAATTTAATTTTTTATGAAATCAAACAGTTTAATTTTGGACCCTTTGGACCTCAATGTGGACCAATTTAAAAACGGGCCCCAATAATCCAAAATTGCAATATCCAGTTTGATTCAGCATATTAAAGAACCCCACAAATTCAAGACTTTGAATTAAACCCCATTGAAATTGGTTAAGAAATAAGCAATTTATACAAAAAATATTGTTTTTTGCCCATTTTTCCTTTAGAACGATTTGCACCATAATCCCCAAAATCAATCCCAACCTTCCTTTTGAGGTATGGAACCTTGTGGTACAATTTGATAGAGATCCACAATCTTATACCAAAGTTATTGTCCTGAAACAAGAACAAGAGGCTCTCGAGAGCCTGTGTCGCTCACCTGTATCTTTTGTGGTTTTGGAAATCATGTAAAATAAGGTTTAAATCATGATAAATAGTATAAGATACCCTAATAATGATTGAGGCCAAGTTTGGTTTAATTCGGCCCAGCAGTTAAATTAAAATTAAAAGCAGGTCATCCCACTAGTAACTAGACTTACAATAGTTACTGAAGACCCCTTATCATTTTTAAAGTAGTTTTCAAGTTGTGACCATTTGAAATTGTTTTTTTTTTTACAATTTTCCCTTAGACTTCTATAGTAAATCCCTTTGTTCTATTTTTAGCCATGGCGGCCATGTTGGTTGGATGACAGGATCATCGGATACATTTTTTAATCAAGATACCCTATTGAAAATTGTGGCTCAGTTTAACTCTATTTGTCCCAGTAAATTCAGTGGAGAAGATTTTTGTAAAAGATTAAAAAAAATTTACGCAAAAAAATGTTAAAAATTTGACTATAAAGGGCAATACCTCCTTAAGGGGTCAATTGAAAATTTTGGTCATATTGACTTATTTGTAGATCGTACTTTGCTGAACATTATTGCTGTTTACAGTTTATCTCTATCTATAATAATATTTAAGATAATAACCAAAAACTGCAAAATTTCCTTAAAATTACCAATATTCAGAGGCAGCAACCCAACGGGTTGTCTGATTCGTCTAAAAATTTCAGGGCAGAAAGATCATAACCTGCTGATCATTTTTACCCATGTCAGATTTGCTCTAAATGCTTTAGTTTCAGAGATATAAGCGAAAGACTGCATTTTACCAATATGTTCTATTTTTAGCCATGTCTGCCATCTTGGTTGGCAGGCGGGGTCATCGAACACATTTTTTAAACTAGATACCCTAATGATGATGGTGGCCAAGTTTGGTTAAATTTTGCCCAGTAGTTTCAGAGGAGAAGATTTTTGTAAACAACAACGGACGCCAAGTGATGAGAAAAGCTCACTTGGCCCTTCGAGCCAGGTGAGCTAAAATGCTTGTTTTTGACAGAAGGACAACGACAACAACATAATTTGCAGTTGTATAAAAACTAAAAAATTTCAAGCAGTCAAGGACAATGGACACATAAAAGACAGATTGATTGATGATTGTTGGTTCCTTAACGTCCAGTGGCAAATATTTCATGCATATACAGGACGACATGAAAGACAGAAACTTCGTAACATAAAGTATTTGTGTATAATGTATGAAGCATCAAAGTCATCTACCCACAGAATATAAAGCTAAATGCAAATAGTTTCAGCAGTTACTGGATTGCAATTCCTTCGACTCGCATTCGCAGGCGAGAAAAAACTAGAGGTTCTCAAGAGCCTGTGTCGCTTACCTGTATTTACTGATGCTTTGGAAATCATGTAAAATAAGGTTAAAATCATAATTAATAGTATTAGATATTATAATGGTATCTAAGATAATAACAAAAAACTGCAAAATTTTTGTAAAATTACTAACTCAGGGGCAGCAACCCAACAACGGGTTGTCAGATTCATCTGAAAATTTCAGGGCAGATAAATCTAAATCTGATGAACATTTTTGCCACCTGTCAGATTTGCTCTAAATGCTTTAGTTTCAGAGATATAAACCAAAAAACTGCATTTTACCCCTATGTTCTATTTTTAACCAAGTAGGCCATGATGGTTGGAAGGTGACGAAAGACACCAAGTGATGAGAAAAGTTCACTCGGCCCTTTGGGCCAGGTGAGCTAAAAATAAGTCTTTATGGTAAATTTAACCCCAAATTATCACAGAAATCAATATTTAACACTGGGAACCAATTTTGAAAAGCATATCATAACTCGTAAAATTTGTGATTTTTTTACAAATACCAAGTTTTCTATCAATTTTTCCCAAATTTTACATAAAACACAAGGGACCTTCCTTTTATATTTATTTCCATTTAGCACATTTATTTTTAAAATTAGTTGAGACAATCTTGACTTATTGTATGACATAGAAGTATTGACAGACAGACAAACAGAGAGACTACTGTATTGGGCTCATGTCAACTACTGGGCCCTAATAATCAAAATTTATTGTCACAATAGATATACAATCAATTTATGACAAAATAAGTTGTAAAGTAGAGGCAATAATGTCTTTTTAATGTCTCTCGTTACATCTTGGTAGTTAAACCATCAATTCACTAGTTTATACATGTTCCTGAAAGAAAAAGCACATATTATTGTATAAGTACATGTCTTAATGCTGACTTGTGAATCATGATGCAAGTTTCATCATTTGTCAGAGCTAAAATTGCATATTTCATAGTATTTTCTGACTTGTGAATATACAAGTTTTATCCACTTGGAGTACATTTGGCAGAGCTTAATGTAAAATAAAATGTGAATAAACTGCTTCGCCGAGCGCAGCTGGATACGACCGCAAAGGTCCAACCCTGAACAGTTGGGCCAAAAATGGACACAATATTCAAACTTGATACAGGTCTGAATGTGGATTGTAATTAAATATTTGACACATTATAGGTTTCTGACACAGAATAAATGTAGTCAAAGAACTTGAAATTGGTTGTACGATTTGAATATATATTCAATTGAAGATTTATTGCTGTTGTGCAATACACTATTCTGTTGCGCAATACTTAGTAAATCTGTTTTCAGACTATATACAAAGAATTAGCAAAATAAATTGTGACCCCCAATTTTTTTCTTTGGAAAATTGACAATTTCTTAAATCTTGAGGGGAAAAAAATTGAACCCCCCAAAAAAAAACAGAAAAAGGGAAAATTCGCGATTTTTTACTTATCATCTTATTATGTTCATAATACCATAAAAAACATATTCACCAAGTTTTATCTGGATATGAACACTAATAAAGAAGAAAATTGGGAATTGTTAATTTTATTTATTCGAACTTCCTGACTTCTGTGACGTAGTTTAAGTCTTTTTGCATGCCGGGAGTGGATTAATCTCATTTTAAGTCTTGTTCGTTAATCATCTTATAACGCGATTTAAAGCGCATCGACGACTTTTGCCGTAGCTATTAACCAACTAATAATTCAGAAAGAAAAGTGATCAGCCGTGCAACTTTTAAAATTAAAATGCACCTTTTATATTTTAAGGATTTCTGATATGATTATAGTAATAAAAGTAAATCATACAATAGAATGTTTTTATGATTTTTTTTCCGACGGATATGTTGAACAAACATATATAACTGATAGTGTAATAAAAATGCATGTTTGTATTCTCACCTATTACTTTAGTCGAGGATTTGTCTTACTATACAAATCCTTGCTTCAGTCTAGTACTGTGTAAATACAATGCATGTGTATTATACTGACACCACCTGGTAAAGGCGTGGTTAAATTCACGGTTATTAAAAGATTAGCATTATGTAATTTTAATCTTTTGATCTTAACAAGAGTGTTGTTTGGCCTCAAGGGTTCACCGTTGTAAGTATGAAAAACATGGAGAAGAAAAGGATAAAACAGAAGTGCGGGTTTGAGACAGGATATTTTTTTTTATTATTTGGGGAGGAATATGGTGGCAAAATAACTGAATCGCCGTTATATATTTTTTAATATTTTGCGTTAGCTCCAATTTTTTAATAAATAGGTGATCATTTTGTTGTAACATCGAAATTCTGAATTGCTTTCAATTAAATAATTTTATAGATAAAAATGGCTCACGAAAACGATCGTATAAATCAAAACTGTACTATTTCAAATTATCATCGGTAACCTTGAATATTTATTCAAATGTGCAGAGAAAATTATCAGTTACATTAATATAGTTTGGTCCGTCCAAAGCGATCTACATTTACCTAATCGGGAATGCCCTGATTAAAATATTCTAAATCTCACAACGTATAAATTCTTTAGCTATTTGACCAACGATGTTTTAAAAAATTAACAGAATCAATCTAACGTCAACTTTCCTTTTTTGAATGGAGAAAGACCGGCGGAATCAATTTTCAATGTGCTTTATATCTTGTACCTTTGCAAGACTTATCATTCATTCATAAACCCACTCTAAACCAGAGACATATATACGTCTGTTTAAACTGACAAGAATACTCCTAAAACGGACAAGCAGTATATTCTTTAAATTTCTGTGATTTAATACCAAGAAAGAAACAAATACCGAAATTAATTTGATACTCAATATTTTTCCTGGAAAATATTCACATCCTCATTCGGTCTGGAAAAAAAAAAAAATTTGGTATACAGAACATGCAGAAGTGTGAATGTCATAAAACCTAATTGTTATATCAGAAACCATTATAAATTTGAACCTGTATACGTAAGACCTCATGCGACGTCACCTAAGATCACCTAACCACATACAGGTAATATACAAGTAGCTCTGTTATACCCGGAAATGTCAAGGTTAATCACTACTGATACAGAATATACCAATGCAACGAAAATTCTGATGATTGTGAAGCATGACCATTCATTATTTTAGAGGCGTCTTAGGTGGGGGATTGCCGGAACGATTTAATTTAAATTCTGACTAGATTTTTTTTTACTCAATTTAAATCACTGAACTAAAAAAAAGAAGAAAACTACGCCCAAGAACAGAATTCTTCTTGTAAATTCATAAATACACCGTTCTTATTTTGTAAGTTTCGGTAGACATGAACTCAACCCCCCCCCCCCCCCCCCCCCCTCCCCAAACCTGGGGACAGTATATCTTACAATGTATATATTCCTGCCAAAATAACAAAAAAGGAGAAAAAGAAAGTCATGAACGGTAAATCACATCAGATTCAGATATTTATATAGTTGATTGTCGTTAGCTAGAAATGTATACATGTCTCTGCGTTAACTTATAAAAATAACAGGAAAGTATAAACTTGAAATAGATTGATGATGAATACTATGCAACTGCGACACCCCTTTTTATCACAGCGTACATACATGTATTTAAATGACTGTCCGTTATTTCGATTAAGAATGACAATCGTACGTAAAATCCTTTAGTTCATGGTGAGACTTTTTGTACCAGATATGCGACTTTTCGTATTTATATTTTCTCTTATATTACTCTCATTTGATATTTTATGCATAAGTGCAATATTGGGAATGGTTTATTACCACCACAAGCTAACTAAATAAATTAATCAACCCTCTAGCTGACCAGACGTTAATACAACTACTATCATTCTATCCGCAGTGAAGTTTCTTTATTTCTTCAAATAGGCTTTTTGGGGACCATTAGTGTACGTCCAGTGGCATATATATTACATGTATGTCGGAACAGGAAAATTGACATCAGGTACTTTAAGAACCATGTTCACATTATTATACATTATACCCAACAATTGTGATGATGACGAATTTCTTAAACTGTTCAAAATAATCTTATTGAAAAATAAATCTGTGATTTTACTATGTCCATAACTTCGATGAACCAAAGCAAGTTAGATATCGAACTGTATTTAAATCAGATTGGTTCTGGATGTTTCTCTCGTATATTCAATTTACATGTATATATTCTAAATTGCGACTATCTATAGTTCCGTAACCTTCTATCTAGGCGTATAAACTAATGATCGACAAGTGCGTACATTTTGTTAAATCAATATTTGTATGTTTCAAGATGTCCATACTTATTGACAACGAGTATATACCTACATTTTCCACAATTTACCCTTGGAAAATATGTAAATAGATTTTTTATTTTATCAAATCTTTTTTTTTGGAATCATTTAGATTTTCATAAATATCATTCTTTACACCAGAAAGGTTATTTATAAACAAGCGTATGAGTTTAGTAATGACTTGTGTATCACTATCGGACACGCAAGACAAAGATGTATATTACACCTGATAGTTTCAAAATGGAAAGTTACAAGTTATCGGCCGTGTACACTGATCAATACCCTCAGAAGTGAAGTGATGCACGAACTTGCTTTATGTAATTGTGTAGTAAGAGTTTTAAAGCCCGACAGGAAATCGCTTGAATACCTGGACGTGTCACCTCACAATACCTCTGGGATTTCTTAATCCATGCTAGTGATCAGATAAGGGAAGGTCCGAATTTATTTAAATAAGTTTATTACATAAAAGAATTATGAACAAACTAGATTTTCGAAAACAATTTTACACGGAACACTTATTTATGACTTTGAACTTTGACTATTAACTAATTTCCATTAAAATTTCTTGTTTCAAAAACTTAGTTAAAAAAAAAACATTTTTAAAACGACAGACCATAGTACTAGTTATTTAAAAAAAAAATATATATAATTACATTTTCCGTATCAAGTTAGTTAGGAAAGGTTGCACAACCATGTCTATTATAATCTTGTTTGTGACCCGGTTAACTGTTTATGCTTTCCTTGTCGGATAAAACAACCGTACGCTTGACAAGATATCGACACTCAATTACGGCTACGTTAGGTTACTGCTTGTTTTCGTCCTTTGTGGTTTATAGATATATCGTGGTTTCTATTCAGGGATGATGTCAAAATGGCCGCTTGCGGAGAATTGATACTCTAAATTTAAAATCGATGGTGATCTCTTATCTAGCAGAATAAAACTTTAATATTTATGAATTTGTGCTTTTTTATACATAATGAACATAATATCAATTTTTCATTTTTTTGCGAAGTTTCCCTTTAAGTTATTGTCTGGAATCTAAATGTATGATTTGAATTTATCTTTGAAGTTATTGGATACTACACATGTAGTGTATCCTATGGATATCTGTTGAAGATTTTTGTCATTTGGTTGCTGTCTCATTGGCATATACCCACATCTCTTGTTATTCATACTATGATACATACATGTATAAAAAAATTTGTATTACATGTAGTACAATATGTAGGAAGTGTAACTGAACCTCAAAATTTTCAAAACATGATGACATGTAACATAAATGCATTTCTGTTCATAAATATAATAAATGTACTATGAAATAATTACTTTATATATAAATATACATGATCTATATTTATATATATATATATATATTAGTCAGGAGAATTACTGAAATGAGTGATCTTAAATCACTTATTCAAGTACATTTTTAACATTTTGTCCAGAAATGTTGGAAGTAAGAGTTGTCTTTCTTTAATAATCACCTATTTAAGTATTATAAATAAATAACTAGACTAAGCATGCTAAGTGATTTAATTTTGTTGTAGCTTTAAATATATAATACTAATGATCCAGGGACTAATTATGTTGCTAAAATTATCAGAATCAACATCTGTGTTCATAAGATGACTGGCTATGTCAGGTGATGACCCTGTACTGAATCTAGGATGACATGAAAATCACTTGTTTAAGTGGAAACCTCTAGACTATTTTCTTCCAAAAAAAATCACTTCTTTAAGTATTATCATTTTGATTACCCCCACTAATTTCAACACCCATGAACAGTGAAATTTTGATCGAGAACAATAAAATTTTATTACAATTATACATGTAATCTCTAAAACCTTGAATTTTACAGGAAAAATACTCCCACTGGCACTGCTTGGAAAAATCTGTTAAGAATTTGATATTTCATTATGTTAAATTATAAGCCTTCATTATAACTTATAAATATAGAATTTACAGCTGAATGATTGCATCAAAGGCATAAACCTTGCTACTTAAAACATGCAAAAGGTTCATTTTTTTTCAATTTTACAAACAATAAGATATAATCTAAACTTGTATGTTTAAAATTTTGGTAAAACTACAAAATCAAAGAATTTTTAATTTGCTACTTAAATGAGTGATTTATAAATAACCTATTTCAATAATTCCCCTGACTGTATATATATTATAGACTTTATAGTAACAATGTTGCAATTTTTTATGATTAAACTGATTCAGAACATGTTAATGAACCATTGGCTGTTGCCTGTAGTCCAAATAAAAAATTCAATAAAAAAAATCCCATACACTAATTAAGATACAAATATACATGTACATAAATTTTGAAAATTACTATCAAAAGTGTAAACACATATATATATAATATCCCATTTAGTTTTATTTAAAATTACCTCAGGAAATAGTTTCTGGTGTTTTCTCTCATTATAAGGTATACAATGTAGATCTAGCTGGAATGTCAGACCTTTTTAATAAGAACCGGTCCTAATGTTCTAGTGAGGAACCTTGGCCCTCTCACGTCAAATACTGGTAGACAATTTCTGGAAGACAATTCAACAATAAACATTGATTTCAGAAAGTTCAGATAAGACTAATTAAAAGTGAGGTAACTAAATAGCTCTTTAATCCAAACAAATTTTAGATCTAAGGAAGTTAAATACATGAAATATCAACAGTTACAATTTTCAGACCTGCCAACCCAAGATCTGATATCAATACACATCTTGAACCAATTTTATTCAATGGCTTACAGGAACATAAGATACTGATTAAATTTAAAACACTTTCAAATTTCTTATCAACTGCTTTAACTTGATAAATCACATTTCCCACATTAATGAATAAAAGAAAATTTAATATAAGTTTGGATTTACAAAAGGAACTACATGTATATATGCAAGTGTATATCTAAAGTAATGAAGTTATTCGCCCAACCTTTTCTTAATATTAGGACAAATAACATATCAAAAGTTGGCAGTTGAAGATTAAAATGGTGTATAAAGTTTCTGCAAGTCATAGAAACACATCATAATATACAAAATGTATCATTCATTTGACATGATTACTGTGATATCCAGTGGCAAGTGTTTCATAAATATTCAGTAAACAAATTTCAAATAATTCTTATAGTTAGGCATGTATGGGTTTTGCTCATTGTTGAAGGCTGTACAGTGACATATGATATAGCTGTTAATTTCTGTGTCATTTGGTTTCTTGTGGAGATTTGTCTCAATGGAAATCATACCACATCTTCTGTTGTTTTACAAAAATAAAAGGCCAGATATTTAACTGGCACAGGAAAATGTTTACATGTTCCATAGGGGTACATATTTTGCCTTGCAAAAGTCTGTGCTTAAGCCACTAGCCCAATATCCGAGTCTGGTAAAAATTGATAAACATTTAGTGAAATTATTTTTAGGGTCTTGCATGTATTCATGAAGGAAAAATGTTAAAATTTCTTGAACAGACTGCAATGGGCATTCAGCCTGAGAACCCTAAATAAAACTGTTCAATGGGTATATTAACTTGCTGCAATACTTTTTTCCAAACATATGGAATTTATCGTCCCAACTTCCACTTGATGTAGCTGTGCATGCCTCTATTCAGTATTCAGATGACACTTATCCCCCCTTTTTTTGGGGGGGGGATTGTTCCTACCGTAACATAGAGAAACTGGGACCAAGATACACCAAGTGTTGTGGACGTGTTATGAGGATCACTGCCTCAAAATGCTATTTTGTACGACTATTGTAAAGTATATTCGATCTTCAATTACAAATGTAATCTAAAAATGTCATGTCATGACTTTTTAAGCCCCCCTGGCATTAGTGGCAAGGGAGTTTCAGTTCCCCCTGAGTTTCACATCATAAAAACACAACTTGTACAAACCTATCTTCGGTAAATAGAGTAAATTACTTTACTTTTATCTTCAATACCGACAACAAACGAGCAGCATGTTTATTGTTCACTTTAACAGCTTGCTAAGTTGCTTTTTCAATTGTTTTGGCTAGAGTTGTGAGTTTGACACAAAAACAAGGGCCCAGCGGCCACTTCAAAAGCCTGCCCATTTGTCGGCGATTAAGTGTCGTCCATAAAATTTATGCCACAAGAGTCGGGCGAGTTTCGGTTATCTAACTTTCAATTTGGGCAACTTGAAATTACTCTACTCACCTGTACCGTGGCTTTCTGTGACACACTACCATCTTCGAAGCGGCGTAGAGGAACAACAATGCCTAACTGCGCATGCTCGAGATCGTTCATTTCAAAAAGTAAAATTAGCCCATACCGGACGGTATTGTCAAGAATTTCAATAACGGCCGGGTACCAGTCTAGGTAGCAATACACAGTTAGAAGTTTAGTTTCGCATTATGGCCATGGTGAATTTTTTAAATATGAAAGTTTTTGTACAATAAAATTGATTTCTAGATATTTGAAGAATAATATAACATTCTTAGTGAGTTCATATGAACATTTAAAATTTTTTAAGCATGTTTTATAGGCCATTTTTCTGTTTGACAGTCCGTATTTTCCTATCCGTACCGCCCATAGGTCTAGAAATTATTGTAGTGTTTATCAACAAAGATTTGACGCTCGATCTTTTCAATTCAATTTTATGGAAAAACGAGCAGAAAGGCATATGAATATTTTTGGACCTCTTGATAGATAGATGTCTATGGTTTCAGGAAAGGTATCACTCTAATTGATTAAAATGTTCCTTTGGACCAAATTTTGGAGACTTTTGTGACATTTTCACCCCTCATTTTGCAATATTTTGTATCGAATAAATGCAGATTGTTGCCATGGTTACACCAAAAAGAGATTATATTTCACCTTTTTAACTATTGAAAATGAAATCTATTGAAGATGCTTTTTCCAGAAATATACACATGCATAACACAAATAGTAAGCCTTGTTTATTAGATAGGAAGGAAAAGAGGGTGGTTAAAAATTATGAGTGCAAATTTTAAGATTTTTTCCTAACTGTGTATTGCTAATTTATGGCATTTGACAAAATACAAAATTGCTTATTTTTAGACAAATCATACCACAAATCTATTAATATTTAGATTATAAATAATTCTGAGGGAGAAACATCTTTTAGAATGACAATATATGTTAGTTTTGTTGTTTATTGTCCTTAGCAACCAATATAGACATTTTGACACAAAGACTTGGTGCGGTCATAAATTGATACTTTATTGGCTACCCCTAGGAAAAGAAAAAAATGCGCGTTATTTAGAAACCTCAATAGGGAACGCTTTATATTTTTTCATGCAAATAAATCAAATTTATTATTTTAGCAAGTATAAAGTTACAATTTAGCATGAATTAAGTCTAAATTTGTTCCCGCTGTTATAGATTAATTCGGTATTTGCTAAATTTTAACCAATGCTTGTGTGTTCTAATACACAACAAAATTGACATTCTAGAGCTTTAAAATAGCTTTAATTTGTAAAATTTGTCTACTGTTAAGGTTAATTTAAGTTTTTAAACAAGAAAAGACAAGCACAGAAGGTATAGTTTTAGAAATTTGACTAACAAAGGAGAATTTACACTTTAACATGGCATGTTTCTTCAAATCTCTTTTTTGTTGCATATCAGTGGCAACTGCAAACCTTCATCAAATATTCATTTCTGAACCAATTTTCAAAACAAGCAGGCCAATTTGCTCGGCTTAGCTAGCAGAACACAGAAATCTATTTAAAGTGGAATTTTTAAAAAAATGTTTATCCTAAAGGTAGCAATACACAGTTAGAAGTTTAGTTTTGCATTATGGCCATGGTGAATTTTTTAATATGAAAGTTTTTGTACAATAAAATTGATTTTTAGATAGTTGAAGAATAATATAGCCTTCTATGTGGGTTTATATGAACATTTAGATTGTTTTTAGCATGTTTTATAGGCCATTTTTCTGTTTGACAGTCCGTATTTTCCTATTCGTACCGCCCATAGGTCTAGAAATTATTGTAGTGTTTATCAACAAAGATTTGACGCTCGATCTTTTCAATTCAATTTTATGGAAAAACGAGCATAAAGGCATATGATTTTTTTTGGACCTCTTGATAGATAAATGTCTATGGTTTCAGGAAAGGTATCACTCTAATTGATTGAAATGTTCCTTTGGACCAAATTTTGGAGACTTTTGTGACATTTCACCCCTCTTTTTGCAATATTTTGTATCGAATAAATGCAGATTGTTGCCATGGTTACACCAAAAAGAGATTATATTTCACCTTTTTAACTATTGAAATTGAAATCTATGGAAGATGCTTTTTTCCAGAAATATACACATACATAACACAAACAGTAAGCCTTATTTATTAGATAGGAAGGAAAAGATGGTGGTTTTAATCTATGAGTGCCAATTTAAAGATTTCTTCCTAACTGTGTATTGCTACCTTAGGAAGAATTTTGGAGACATCAGAGACAGTTTCGAAATTGAAGTTGAGCAAGTCAGAGCTATTTTAGATTACATGTTACAGAAAAGGGACATTATAAAAGATCTAAATGATAAAATTGTGGAAGTTAGCTCTGATGAAGACGTGGTGGATGAAATTCAGCAAACAGTTGAGTACATGATCCATTTAGATTAAAAAATCCGTCAAATTAGAAAACTAATTCAATCCTCACACTCAACAAGTAACAATTTACCCGTCAATACTACCGTTATTCAAGCTAGTAATGTTACTCTGATACACCCTTACATACCATTGTTCTACCTACATTCGATAGTGTACCCTCAAGCGACTCCTCTCTCAATTGAACCCGCACGCCAATTGTTTCACGTCGACATTTCATGTACAATCAAATGCAGCATCGTTTTATACTAGTAACCCCGCTATATCAGAGATTGTTCCTACTATGAACTCGTCTATGCACATTCAAAGTTTACATTCGTCTTCTAGCGCAAAAATTCAGTACCACAAACTACAAAAGTTGAACCTACCTACTTTTGAAGGGAATATTTTAGATTGTTAATCCTTTTGGGATTCAAATGAAACAGCTATTGACACAAATCCCATACTTAGCGACGTACAAAAATTTAACTACTCAAAGTATTTCATACAGGGAGAAGCATTGCAGACCATATCAGGTTTTTCTATGACAAACACTAACTACGGCAAAGCTATTTCATTGTTACAAGAGAGGTATGGACAGATACATACTATAATAAAAACATACATTCAAGCTCTACTTGATATTCCGCCGCCGATTTATACTGTAATTACTATGACAAAACTGAAACTTACATACGAGTTCTAGAGTCTCTGATGACACCTATGGTTCACTTCTTGTACCAGTTATTCTGAACAAATTGCCCGCAGAAATACTCCAAAATTTAGCAAGAGTTCAACAAACTGGACTTTAAATAAATTACGCAAAGCAATTTTAGACGAGTTATTCATTATGGAAGCCATACAATCACGCACAAATTCAGCATTCAAGAAAATGAAAGGTCGTACTCGGATATTAAGGTGAACACAAAGCAATGCGCATTTTGTCACGAATCGGACACACACCCGTAAACTTCGCTAAAGTCACAACCGATAACGTGCGGATGAATATAGTCAAGAGCTAAAGACTGTGTTTCAAATGCCTAGGTCACTACAAACTATCTGACTGTAAATCAAAAAGTAACTGCCAAAATTGTAACAAACGTCATTACACTAGCATATGTAGTGAACATGAGAAATCCGAGGAATCGAGCAAACCGCCAGCCAAAGAAATGCAGTATCCCTCACACAAAGAACTACAAATGTATTGTTAAGGACCGCCGTCGCTAATGTTAGTTTGGGAAAACAAAGTACAGAAGCCAATGTTCTGTTAGATGAAGGTGCGCAGAGGTCCTTCATAACGGAGACATTTGCAGGGATGTTGGACTTAGCTACAAGCGGAAACGAAGTAGTGCACCTTTCCGGATTCGCAGACCAAAATGGACAAGTAAGACACATGAAATCGGCAACTGTTTATATCCAAACAGATGAAGGCAAAAATATACCACTAAACGTACTTATTATTCCTGAAATTTCAATGCCATTACAAACTCACGTGAAAACAGATAGACTGGAATTGATGGCTGTCGTTATTAGAAGCAGTCTATTAGCACATACCAGGGACAACATGCAGATAACCCATGCAGTTTTGGTTATGTTCAAAGAAAACTTTAAAACCATTCATTTCAAACCGCGTAAAAGAAATTACAGAGTTAACAGAAGAGTTAAATTGGAGATACTGTCAAAGTGAGTCAAATCCTGATTTACTGTCAAGCAAGAGGGATGCCAGCAGATAAATTTCAAAACAACAAACTTTGGATGCATGGCCCGGATTGGCTCACATTCGAAGAGAATTGGGAAGAATGGAACAGAGAAGAAGCACAATTTTATCCACTTTTGCACAACAAGAAGTCATCGTTGATACTATACAAGCTACAAAGAGTGCTTTTACAACACAAGGGATCGGCAATGTCATCAATGTGAATAAATTCAACTCATTTAAGAACATTCTACGAATTACCGTTCACGTGAGAGAATTAATAACAAAATGTAGGACACGAGCGATACAAACAAGTACGTTAAACACGATCGAAATACAAAACGTATCTATAACGTGGATACAATACACTCCGAAACAACACTATTCAGATATCATTCAAGACTTACAAACAAGAAAGGGAAAACACAACCTTGTCAAACAGCTCAAGTTGTACATAGCTAATGACAAATTAATTCGATGCGACGGACGCATTCATAATGCACTGCTTGAAGAAGATACAAAATACCCGATATTGCTATATACCCGCAAGGGGAAATTGACACTTATAACAATGGACGCACATGTGACTCATTAACATTCAGAATTATCGAGTTCCGTAACATTACTCCGCCAAACCTATTTGATACCATCGATATGACAAGTTATCAAGAGAACTATTCATAAATGCCTGATCTCTAAGAAAGTTGTTAGTCGACCGTATTCGGCTCCAGATCCGCAACCTTTGCCTTTAAGACATACTGAAGATTCGCCAGTAGAAAATCTATGATTTATGACAACGCTACAACATACATCGCATCCACCAAACAGATTGAGGAATTAACACACTCACCATCAGTTAAAGAAAAACTCAACAACTTCGGCACTACATAGAAATTTATACCAAAGAAAGCACCATGGTATGGTGGCTTTTGGGAAAGGCTGATAGGACTTACAAAGGACTGTATCAAAAAGGTGTTAGGACGTTTATCAGTCGAGGCAAATAGGAAATTGCATAATATTATGAAATATCCTAATTTAACACATTATTATGAAACTTCATAATATTAGATA